AATTTCATCTTGTATTCCAATTTATTTCCAATCGTTTATATGAGGTTGTGATATTTATTAATACATTTTATTTTCATTGTACAATCCCAAGTTTCCTTCATCTTATAAAAAGTCAGTATCTGTGCGCCGTTTTTTCCTTTGATTCAATTACTTAGTTCGACGTGATAAGACTTTTCGGCGATGCTCTAATTCACGTGAGCGAACGTCGAGGCGAACGGCAAAGGACTGTATATGTCGAATGTGTTGTGTATGGACAAATACGGGGGCGTATAGTGACGTTGCCGTTCCATTCAGACGCGAGAACGCAGTTCGTGACGACGCGAGGCGCCGAAATAGCGTCGGCGTCACTCATCGCGAGACTCGGTTTCAATACCGTAAAAGAATTCTCTCGTGACGACGCATACAGTCTTTTTTAATATTCCCGGCTCGATGACGCGTCTCGGAGCGATTGCCAATTTTTGATGGACGCAATGCGGGAAGAATTTCCAATCGGCCATTGTTGATGTTAGGAATCCATATCTTCTATATACTGATCGCAGTTTCATCAATTTGATTCATGATTTTTGAAGTTAATAGTCAGATATCTATGACTGTTACACGTGGCAATGCTAACAATTATCATTTTCAATTTATAAACTGGCATATTTTACTATGAAAAATTTTAACACTTTAGGGAAAATTTTAATGTCAAAAATATAAAATTATTTTAATCTTTGCAGGAAAGAACGTTTTTTTTACTGCAATATCTAAAAATTTAGTTATAAATATAGATTTGAAAATAATTTTGTTGGACTATCAAAATAAATACATAGAAAGCATGATGAGCAATACTGCAAAAAGTTTTTTTGACATTCCAGCAAGCAGTTTTGAGCGTTTCACATAATTATTATTTTGATAGTCCAACAAAATTTATTTTTAGATCTGTATCTAACTAAATTTTTAGATAATTTACAAAATCGTTCTTTCTATATACAGGACAGGAAGCCATTATAATGGCGCTAAAACAGCAGGGCTGGGTAATCATTTAAAATGCCAAATATAAAATACTTAAAAAAATGTATTTAAAATATAAAATGTTTTTCGAATGCACTTTATATGTAAAATGGGTAAATAGATATTTTAAATAGTTTTCAAATACAGAATGGTTTTCTCTACATACATTTTAATATACATTTTTTTAAGTATTTTACATTTAGCATTTTAAATAGAATTACATTTTAAATGACATTTTAAATGCAAAAATAAGCCCTGTAAAACAGTGTCATACTTTGAAGGATGAAATACAATGAAATATAAATTATAAATTTTACTTAAAAAAAGGCCGTAAAATAAAAAAAAATAGATCTTCGTCTTTTAAAGGTTAATGTCTTTCAATTAAAATCTTCATTGATGACGATTGCAATCTTCATGGATGGATCACCACATTAAACGATGTCTTGTCGATCATCCGATGAGTTATTGACTCAAAGAGACCTTTTAATTCGGTCTAATTAAACGATCAGCACCGTAAAAATTATATCCGCCGTTGCATCTGATCGTTAAAGGGTCTTACGTCATCTCGACCCTCTTGTTTTCAGTTTGTGTTTACCGACAGGAGTATTTATTCTCGTCTATGACAGTGTTTTAAAACGAAGTTTAAAAGTCTTAAATATTAAAAATTTTGTCGAAAGAATTGTAGGAACCACTAGATAAAATGAAAATTTACTTTTACGTATTATATCTGTTTGATCGCTTTATTTCCATCCTTCTTATATCAGCCATAAATAGATACGAATAATTCTATCGAGACTCGTACGTGGAATTTACGAGATTGTTCTTTCGCGGGGGTCGTTTATAAGGAAACGATTGCGCGGGTTTATTAGTCATGCCGTGTTGCGCGGACATTGATGATTCGTTTTGTGCCGTTCTCGCCTACGCGCGGTCTTTATATGAACAAATTCTAAGAGCGAGGCCACATTTTCGCGTGACGTATTATTTGTTTTAATACGAAAATAAGTCCACCCTCAGAGAGTCAACACCCTGGCCTCAATGAGGATTTTCTCGACGGGAAGGAAGTCAATTCTCTTAACTTTGTCAGTCGCCAGGTCTAGTTTACCCAAAGTATCAACATTTACCACGTTTTTCACCGTTCTTTCTTCCCTTAAAAAAATATCAGAGTGGATCTACTATATACTGATATACACTGAAAAAAAGATTGGCTG